TTTAATCCTCAGGATGGAAAACAGGAAAAAAAAAAGAAAGAAAGAAAAGAAGAAAGAGCGAGCCAAGTTGAAAGTATCTTCAGATTACAAATACAGTTAGCGAGGGTACCATGCTGGGTTCCTTGTATAGAGACTAGGAACTTTGACTTTATGGTATCACGTGGACTAGAGTTAATTTACTGCTAACCATTTCTTCCCTCAAAATCAGCATATTCTCAACTTGTACGCAGGTCTTGACCCCTTGAGAGTTGAACAACCCTTTCACAGGGGTCACCTAAGACCATTGGAAAGCACAGGTGTTTACATTATGATTTACAAGTAATTTCGAAGTAGCAACAAAGATAATTTTATGGTTGGGTTTCATCACAACTTGAGGAACTGTATTAAAAGGTCCTAGCATTAGGAAGGGTGAGAACCACTGGTCTAAGTGAACATCTTGCCAAGTGCTACCTGATGCTATAGCATTAGGTAAGTTACAGACTTAGGAAGAAGGCATGATACAGGGTTTCAAATCCTAAGATAAAGCTAAAAATCTTCTATTTTGTTCTGAATTGGTCTGCATATATCTCTTAATGCAGAATTCTTAACTTGGTATTGTCAGAACTAGTTCTGTATATAGATAGCCAGGTAGACTATGTTGACACTCAACATTGTCTTATTGTTACAATTACTTATTGTTATGGAAAAGTGAAGATAAAGGGTGTGTGTGTGTGTGTGTGTGTGGTGTGTGGTGTGTGTCTTGGGAGTTTGAGGTGGGTTAAGGATTAAGGTGAAGTAGAGAATGGTGAAATGTACCTACACAAATTTCAAAAGAGATAGCCATCTTAACATTTAAAACAATTTACTTTATTTCAGGTAAAAACAAATTTTTTTAAGATAATATCTTCCTTTGTAGTCTCAGTTGACCCGAATTCAACCGGTTGCCTAAGCTGACCTCAGATTCATGGTGATCTTCCTGCCTCAGCCTCTTAAGGGTGAGAATCAGAAGCATGAAACGCTGCACCTGCCTTTACAAAGTTTGAAAATGAACTTTTAGTTGAAGTATGTCAGAGCCCTAAGTGTAGAGCCTCACAGATGGTCAGAAACAAAAACCCTTGTTAGTCACTACACCTGTCAGCGTGCGTGCACAGAGTATTGCTGACATCCCTGTGGCCTTTTGGGCCTCTGCTCATTTCCTGGTCCCTCGCTGTCATGGTCCTGCTGTGATAACCATTGTCTTAACACAACGTTGTCACCAGAAGCAAGAGCAGCTGAGAGGTGTGGAAGCAAATTCTAGAGGCTCTCTTAACAGAGTTCTGTCAGTAGAACTTGGAGGGAGTGACAAACTTATAGTTTTTGAATGTCTGGTTGCTTAGGTTTGCCTGGAATAGAAAGTAGAGACACAAAGCATTCAATTAAAAGCATCCTGGAACTTTTCTTCATGATAAATAATAAGCTAACCCCATTGCCAAGAAATGGCCAAACTTTGCTGCATTAAACAGACCACAAAAGTCTTACATTGTTAGATGGAAAAATAAAGACACTGTGGATGACAGTGGACTCTATCATTGCATCAAAACACACCAGAAAAACAGTGCAGTGATGTCTTTAATGTGATGGAGGAAAAGACCTGTAGATAGAAATTTGAGAATGTGAGAAGTTTTTTTTTTTCAAAGTCCTTGGGAAAAAAAAAACGCATGGAGCCTACTAAAAGATGTGTTTTAGCAGGAAGAAGTGAATCCAGAAGGGAGTCATTGGATCACAATGTGAACATGAACATGCATTTATCAAAATTACTCGTTAATACTAGCAATGTACTTTAATTGCTACCTGTTTAAAAACAAACTCAGCTTTGTTATATTTTCCACTGTTTTTAAATTTTGTTTCATTGATCTTTGTCTATTCTTAATTATTTCCTTCCTTCTGACTTTGAGCTTAAATTGTTCTTTTTTGCTCATCCTGAAGTTCAGTATTAGAGATCTTCCTTTTATCTTTATGTAAGCACTTACTGTTATAAACTTCCCTTGCTTTCTCTGTGTTTGATTGACTTGTAAAACTAACAAAGACTCTATAACAAATTACAAAAATGTTTTTAAATCATATAAATTTGAACAAGTCGAAATTCTTTAAGGTTTTGTAAATTTACTTGCAGATAGTCAAGTTTTGCAGATAGTATAGTTTTTAGAAAACTTGTAACTTTGTATCTGTTCCAACAATTGCAATGAGGAATTTTTGTTTTTTATTGTTTATTTTATACACTGACATTTTCATGAGGTATGCATTTTTATAATTAAAGACTAACTAATATTTCCTTTAGTAATTAAGTCCTTATAATTGTATAAAGAAATATGTTTCAAGTTGTAATTATGTCTCTTTGTTTGAGACAGGGACACACTGTGTAGCTCTGGCTGTCTTGGACCTTGCTATGTAGAGCAGGCTGGCCTTGAGTTTGCAGAGATTTGCTTGCCTCTGCCTCCCAAATGCTGGTATTAAAGGTGTGTGCCATGCCCAAGTTGTAATTCCTCTCTCTCTCTCTCTCTCTCTCTCTCTCTCTCTCTCTCTCTCTGCCACTCTCTCTCTGTCTCTCTCTTTCCCTCCCTCCCCCCCCCCCTCCCTCTTCGTCTCCCCCCCCTCGCCTGCCTGTTTGTCTTTCTGTCTCTGCATCTGTCTGTTTCTCTAGTATCTTTCTCCAGTTCTGCAATTCTCTATGTAGACCAGGCTTGTAATTCCCTTAGTAGTATGTATGTATGTATGTATGTATGTATGTATGTATGTATGTATGTAGTACTTAGAGCAGTGCTTTGTCAGTAGCAAATGCTTTAAGGTTTTCTTTGATGTTATTTTTACTTATTTAGTTAATTTGCTTTTTGTAATGGACTCTCACTGTGTGGCTTTCCCCCTGCCTCTGTCTATATACCACCTCTCCTATGTTATCAGTTGTTACTACCAGTATTTTTCTCATGTCTATGATTACGTATGTTGGGAGGGTTGTCAAGTCATGAAATAGTCCAAATAGGCAAGCTCTTATTTTAGGTGCCAGCTAGACTCTGGTAGATATAAATGAAACTGTGCGAAACAGCTTTTACTCTTTTCATCTTCCAGTATCAAAGAGTGACATCCTCCTTTCTGTTGATGGTTTCACAGATCTCCTACACTTGAACTCTGTGCACTTGTCCTTCAGATCCCTGCTTCCTTCACAGTTACTGTCACCAGGTAGCATTAAGTCGGTGTTTATATTCCCTCTCATTATCTCCCATGCTGTTTGAGTTCATGATCTCCTGTTGCCTAGACCACAACAGCAGCTTTCTAGCTTCATTACTTTACTGTCCTGAATCGTTGTCTGTCTATAAAGTTTAAATTCTTTGGTTGTTTACTTCTTTCTTTAACATTGTATGTACTATGTCAAGTTTGTATTCATCATAAATACCTAGTGTGATGGGAGGTAGATGGCTCCTACCTCAGCCTCGTAAGGGTTAGGATCACCCTAGCTAATCATGGCCAAGAATCTTGTCTCTTGGCTTCATGGTTTTGAGGTGAGTGCTCTGTGCTCTGTCCTAAATTCTTGTGCAGATTCAGGGAGAAAGAAGGTGAGAGAAAAATACATAGAGATCATGCTGACAGATCAGCTCCTTTTAAGGATGGGCCTCAAAAAGCTCCCCAGTAACTTCGTGAATCTTACTTGCTGAAACTGGTTTACATAGCTATCCGTTAGTAGGGAAGACGCGTTTTGTTGGGCACTTAGAGATACCCACAAAACTGAGCTTCTTTCTTAAAAGGAGGAGGAAATGCTCGCAATCTTGACACAAATATCCATGTTTTTACTCCTCCCATGCGGGTGTAAAATTCTTGCCGTTTTAACTCAGCACAACGCGTTGTTGAGCTCACAGTGTGCGGGCACTGCTCAGTACAGTGCCCTCCCCTAGACTACATCTAAATGCAGTGTATTTTCCAAAGTCAGTTTTAAATCTGACTGTTTAAATTTCATCAGATTATTCCAGTTTGAAGTTAACACTCCTTCCTTCACTAAATCAATTGTCCGCGTAATTCATGTGGTAAATAATGTTCCTATGTGTGAAATCTTCAGTTGTCTGTAACTCATTTAAGTGTAACACATTTGTGTTGTTGTTTTGGTTTGTTTTAACTTTTTATTTATAATGGGACTTACTAGGCTCTGGCAGCAGTATAAATGATGACACAGAGGTTTTTTAATCTTTTAAGCTTAGACCTTTCAGCTTAGGCAGCCTCCCAGCCAGCTATTGTGCTTAACCCGACCAATCCTGGCACTACGTCCTGTCACATGGGTGGCTCTACCTCTCTTCTCTGGTCCATCCTTCATTCACCTCCAAGTCTGCTGGCGAGTCTTCTCCCAGCATCCAGGGAAGCTCTGCCCTCCACCCTGTGCCCAGCTATTGACCATTAGCTCTTTTTAAACAGCCATTCAAATACAATTCTAGATTGCCTCTAGGCTTGTGAGCAAAGATGAATATTTACAAAACATGGGGCCAGAGATTGGCCATAGAAATAACAAAACCAAGATCCTGCCAGCATTTAGCTCTCTGTGGGTATAGATTTAACAATCGAATATACAAAGACACAGCTTCACACAGTGTACCTGAACAATTTATTTTACTTGTGTGTGTGTTTGTATGTGTTTGTGTGTGCTGTCTGTAGAGGGCAGAAGGAAGTGTTGGTGTCCATGGAACTAGAGCTAGAGAGGATTGGGAGGCGCCTGTGATGTGTGGGTGCTGGGCTCTCTGGAAGAACCATCTCTTTATGGCAGAGCCATCTCTAGCTCCCATTTGTTAAGGTACTGCTACCTATTTATATTCTCCTGTTAGACTTATAGCTGGAATTTTATGATTGTCCACTTGAAGTTCATGGTCTGGTATCTCGTGCTGTACTTTCTGTGTGGTGGTATACGTATTTAGTCAGTCACTTGGACAGAGTCATGGCTCTCAGTAAGACTTCTTTGTATCTGAGGGGTAGCTTTCCTAATATCATTTTATTGTTTTCTCTAATAGGCCAATGTTCTGAAAAAGGCTCTGGATGGGAATGGCTTGCCTTACAATGACAGAAATGGAGGCAACCTCCACATCTCCTGTCCATCAGAATGGTGATATTCCTGGAAGTGCTAATTCTGTGAAGCAGATAGATCCAGTCCTTCAAGTGTATCTGTACCATTCTCTTGGACAAGCTGAAGGTGACTATCTGAAGTTTCCAAATGGAGAGTATGTTGCAGAGGAAATTTGTGTGGCTGCTTCTAAAGCTTGTGGTAGGTATTAAAAATCACCACTTTTCTTACTTATAGATTATCATTTTACTAGTTTATAGGTTATCATGTTACTTGGATACAATACACATGTATAATGTATACACATGTATAGCTATGTTTTTACATGCCTAACAAAATGGCAGCAACATTAAAGTAGAATGTAAACTGATTGACATACAGTAGATGTCAAAACGAACCGAAGCCTGTAAATGTTTGCTGAGACCATAGTAGGTCTTGACTCTTGTCATGGGATATCTCATAAGTCAAACTTTTTTTCAGGTGGTTCAGGATTTGCTATGTAGCACAAGCTGGTCTGGAACTGACTGTGTAGCCCAGGTTGGCCTCGAGCTTGCTGTTATCCTGTTGTCTCAGGCTCTCAAATTCTGAGATTACAGATAACTTACATCTCCAGCTTTATAAGTAGGTCTTGGAACTACATCCTTAGCACAGTGTATAAGGAATGTGTATTTGGGTAAAATTCTTAGTTATTTACCTTTATTTTGTATGTATGTGCATTTTGCCTGAATGTATGTGTGTGTGTACCTCTTGTATGCCTGATGTCTGTGAAGGCCAGAAGAGGATGTGAGTTACAGATGGTTGTGAGCTGCCACCAAGGTCTTCATCAAGAGCATTCAGTACTGTTAATTGCTGAGCTATTTCTCCAGTTCCTGTGTAGAATTCTTGGTTAAATATTTTACAGCTATAGGCAGCAGATTATTTTTTTTATTTTATCCCCTGAAGTTCTGTATCAATCCAATATATACATTTCTCTCTGTTTATTTGTTTATATAAAATATTTATACAAATATTTTATTTATATAGACCATGTTTACTCATCCATCTACCAAAAGCTACTAATACAGCTGATATTTAAAGATAGGCATATAGAGCTGGAGAGTTAGGTGGGTCAGAGGTTGAGAACTTGTTTCTCCTGTGAGGGCTCTGGGTTCCTAGCATTGACAGTAGGGATCCAGTGACCTTGTCTGACCTCAGAGCACCAGGCACATTGGGTGGTGCATAAACAGATATGAAGGCAAAACACCCTCACATACAATATTTTAATCTAAAAAAAGAGTTATAAAAGACTGCATAATAAAATAATTAAATGTTTACTTTTTTAGTTTAAATTTATACATATTTTATGAAGATATATTTTAGCTGGGTATAATGGCACACACCTTTAATCGTAGCACCTGGGCAGCAGAAGCAGTTGGATCTCTGAGGTTTTGTTTATATAAAGTATTTATACATATATATTATTTATATAAACCATATACATGTTTTATATATATGTATATGTATATATAAAATATGCTTTAAATCCAGGAAAATCTTATTTTACTTTGTTGAAATGCAGTGTAGTTAGATGTTCGTTTTCCTAATGCCATTGCCAGACTGCTTGGATCATTGTGGCTTGCTGGTAAGTTAATTTTCATTATTTGCAGTGTGCTCCTAAGGCTGAACTGCCTTTCTAGCCCTGTAGCAAGTCTTGTAAACAGGAAGTAGAAGTCGTTAAACTGTATTGTTCTTTTATATGATTATTTGACAATTTTAGTGCCTTTGATTTTTTTCCCATGAATTTTGTGATTAATTTGTCACTTCTACATAAAGGAGAGCTGAGATTTCAGTAGTGATTGCACCACATTGCTATTTTTTTTTATTGTTACAATTTTATTTTACAAAATCAGATGATCTAATTATCTAATTTAATTTTTAAAAAATTTTATACAATATATTTTAATCATATTCTTTTCCCTCCCCCACCTCCTCCCAGATCTTCCTCTCACCACCCAACTTCACATTTTTCTCTCTGTGCTAGAATTTTGTCTAGTTTGAGCCTGTGCGGGTCTTGTGTTTGTGGTCATAATCTCTGAGAGTTTCTATATGTATTAGCCCTGTTGTGCCTGGAAAACACTATTATCCTTGGAAATATCTACCACATTTGGCTCTTAAGTATTTCTACCTCTTCTTTCTCAAACATGCCTGAGCCTGGGAAGAAGGATGTGAGACATCCCATTAGGGTGGGTGCTCGGAAGTCTCCCTGGTGTTAGTCACTGATCATTTGTATTCTTTGGCATTTAACAGAAACAAGAGGGGGGTGCCAGGCAATTGGGAGCAGTCCAGGCTGTACCTTCTGTAGTGTTACGGCTCTGTGTGGGACTCTTAGCTGGACATGTGCTGCTGCTCCTGTGTACTCATAGAAGTTGGTATTGCTTAGCCCTTAGCAGCAACTCGAGTTGTGTTCCCGGGCAAGAATAGGTTTTGGGATTCCTCAGCCCTTCATAGTGGTCAGTGTTACACCTTTCCTAAAGGTCTGACAGGACTCTAGAAGGCTCCCATAGGCCTACAGTTTCTCATTTCTGGCTCTTCACAGAACTTGTATATTCTTGAGCCTCAGGCTCTATTCTCTTTGTACCTTGGTCTCCTTTACCATGTTTGAGCGCGTGAGTGGTTCTGCATCTTCGTCAGCTGTCAAGGATTTGGTTCCTTCCTGTGTTGATTTTTACAGCTGAACCCAGCAACTGCTAAGCTATTCTTACCTGTTGCTTTTTCCTGTTACCAGCTCAACCACAGTATTCAAAGTAGGCACTAGAGGGCCATTGAAGAGGAATATTTCATTTGGGCCTAATGTTAAAATATAGGGGAACAGAACAGGATGATGTCTCTTAGCTGGCTGTGTAAGTGTTTGAACCAAGCACAGCAAACCTCACGTGTGAAGGAAGATTTGTCCTTTCACCAGTCTCAGTCTGTCCTGTTAGCACCAGTCACAGTGGTCCTTTGTCAGGCCTGAGAGCTAATGCCTGCATGATCATCAGTTCGCCAAGGCGTATGATAGCAAAGTCTAGTGCAGCCTTGGAAGCAGTGCTGGCTGAGACTGCTTCTAGAGCTGGACCGAGCAGCTGTGTAGTTCTCACTCACAATGGCCAGTGTTGGCATGAGGGTAGGCCAGTTGGCTGTTTGTCTGGCTTTTTTTTTTTTTTTTTTTTTTTTTTTTGTTAAAGGCAGCTGGGGCAGGAAGAGAAAGTCTGAACAGCTGCCAATTAGGGAATCCAATTGCCCTATTCTCCAGTATCTGCTTATTTACGGGAAAGTGAGCGCGAGAAGGAGAGATTATAGTAAGTACTCAAAGGCCTTATCCTTGGCACTGCTAGTGAGTTGAAGGTTGTTTACCATGCCCTGAGTACCTCAGAGGTGGGTGGGCCTCTCTCATCTCTCTTGATCCATTCAGTTCTAACCTATTTGTGAAATTAAAATTTTTCCTTAAATGTTCTACTTATTATATTGTTGCCAGAGGAGATAACCTTGGATGATTTTAACCTTAAAATTTTGTTGACATTGGTTTTGAGATGTATGAACCTGGGGCATATTTTACTTTCATGTAAAGATGTGCGTTCTGCCCTATGGGGCAAAATGTTTTATATGTTAGTTATATCTAGCTGATTTGTGGTGTTAAGTTTTTGTCTTTATTGAGAATGGTGTGTTGAATTATCCACATAGTATTGTTGAATTGTCTATTTTCCCCTTTACTTCTAAGTTTTTGTTTCATAGTGTGTTGATAATTGTTCTGTCTTCTGGTTGTTAATTTTACATTGCTAATTTTTCACTGTATATCTTATTTTCTTATATTAGTATAACTACGATGGCTTCCTTTTTGTTATTATTTGTGTAGTTTTTTTTCATTTTTCTCCTCCTCTCAACCTATTTGCATCTTTAGATTTTAATTGAGTCTTTTAAAGACATCATATAGGTAAGCCATGTATTTTTATCCATATGAAGAATCTCTGCTTTTAATAGGATAGTTGTATGAATTTGCATTTGAAATAGTGATAGTGAATATTTTCTATTTAATTCTTTTCTTTTTTTCTTTTTCTTTTCTTTGTTTCTTTCTTTGTTTCTTTCTTTGTTTCTTTCTTTGTTTCTTTCTTTCTTTCTTTCTTTCTTTCTTTCTTTCTTTCTTTCTTTCTTTCTTTCTTTCTTTCTTTCTTT